GTATTCCCGATGGACAGAAGTCCAGGTGGTTGGATTATGTCCAAGAAATTTCAAAAACTGTTTCATTTAATAGCCTTCTCAACTCGTACTGCAGTCATTGGTCATTAGATGGTCTTTTCAAAAATTTTCAAGTAGAAATGCTGAAGTCGCGGTCTGGTGGATTCCTTGGAGTTAGTTTCATATTTGTCACATTAAAACTCGCTTTTTCAAAATTTTTAATTTTCCCTCCACCGTCTTCTGTTGCTGGAGAGTTCCTGCATTCCTCGATGTTTTGGCCAGTGCCAGTGTTCTGGGTGTCTGCTGTCGCTTACCGATTATGGCTGAGGCCTGTCGTCAAGCAGCACTCTGTTGATTAATTATTCCCGTGTGATTTGCTTCCTCTTTGATATTTAATGGAAACTGAGGTTTCGCACTGTCTCCTGAATTAGCTGATTTTGAAACAGTTCTAGGCTCTAGAAAAGGAGGCCGGTAAGCCAATGCCAGCTCAGGTTGCAGTGAATTAAGGGGCCATTCGCCAAAGAAATATTTCTCTTTCGTCCACCAGTATGCAACTTGTGCCACGCGCAGTGCTCCCCTTCTAGGCTAATTTATAAATCATGAATTAAAGCATACTTCCCGGCCTTCCATATCCTCTTTTCGTATGACGTGGATCGTCTCCTGGCGCACTGTTATGCATATATGTATACACATAATCAGGCGGTAGTGACCCACCGGCCGACCGTTGCACTCCAAAAACCTGTCTTTTTTTCGGCCTTTTGAATAATCGGCAGACAGACTGGGTGACTACTTGGGATGCCAATTATCATGTCTGTCAGGAAATCAGTGAGAGTTGGTGAGACCACTGAAAAGGCTTTCTGAAGGCAGCCTCTGTGGTACACTTGAGCAGTGATCTAGGCGCAACGCGCAAAAAAGGGACGCCTTGGCTCTCTTCGACTAAGTATTCTGCTTTATCAAAAGCTCCCTTCCCCTTCACTCTTCAGCAGCATCTTGCAGTCAGTTTAGTGCTTGAATTTATGGCCCAGCCGCATTTGGCGTCTTTCTGGTCGAATTTAGTTCTGCTTCTCTCAATTTTCATTTCCCCTTCTTATTCGGTAGTACTCTAATCATTTCGATCCTGTCACTAGCATATCAGTCCCTCCGCTCTTTACTAGTTCGTTTCGAAAGCTAATTGACAGTAAGCTTGCTTTTTGCAGTCAAGCCCTTTCCAGTTTATTTCCTAATGGGATAGAGCCTTACCGGCTGGTGATTGTTGCGGGCAAGGTGTCGATGCGCTCCCGAGTTTCTTCTTCTTTCGCAAAAACTGAAAAGAAATGAAAGTTTCCACTTGATGAGTTGGAAAAGCAGATGAACATGTCCTTGAGGTGCTGCTGCATCTAGTCACCGGTTCGTCACTGGGTGAACATCTGAAGCCTGTAATTTTCTCCTAGCCAACAGCTGAATGCTCAAAGAAAAAAGAATACCCTAGGAATCTAAAAAATCTGTATATACACAGGTATGGGTAATGTGAACATTTCTCCCTCACCTTTGAGATGGATGGGACTAGTGCGAAACACTGGATTCTGTGTTAGTGCAATCAAGCTTTATTAATAGCCAAAAAATTGAGTCAAGGCATTTGTCTACGAATTTCCACAATGTTCCGATACTACTGTTGACAACAGCCTTTCGCTCACAAGGCTTAGCTTAGCAACAGTGGAGAAGAGAGCGAGCGAAATCACAGAGCACATTTTGATTTGGAATACTTTTATAAAATTTAAATGCAAGGTTACTGCTGGTGTAATAATACTGGGAGTGAGGGAGCGGAGAGGGCCGAACACCAGGAGTGTGTGTCCCCGTTTCAGCTCCGGCAGGGAGCTGTAACGCGGCTCACTGCTTGTTCCAACATTCAGTGTACTGTTCGGGGACATTATAGTTGTGAGAGTGTTCCGCAGAATTTGTAATTTGAGCCTAAATTTAGGAAAGTCTCGAAGTCCTGCCCAGAGCGCTGTTCTCCTAGAACTCGGTTTTCTGGCGCGAAGATGCTTTTTTGGATGAGTAGTTGGTACGGAGTGTCGGGGCTTCTGGAATCCCTCATGGCCGTATTGTAAGTAACTTGTCGAGTCTTTCGGGCAGACTAACTTTCTGACTTGAGAAGT